TACTCAATTTTTTTAAAATTTTTTTATTTTCGGTGGTATCAAAAATCGATTAACGAAGCTCTGACGCCGGCAGCGATGCGCCGCAAAACTTTAACGGCATTGCATTCAAAAAGACATTTCTCGCGTGCCACAATCTATATTTTGTATGTGTGTGAGTTTGTATCTATGTGGCGAAAGAAAGAGAAATAAGAGATAATTGGTATAAAATGCCCGCTTATTTGCCGTCACGAGTATCGATTTCTATATCAAGAAGGATATGTCACGTGCAGGAAACTAGTGGCAGCCAAAGACAAATCCTAATACAATTCGCAATGTTTCTACTATAACAATTTCTGTTTAAAAAACTTGAGGTGATTCAGGAAATATAGCAAAAAAGTACTAGAAAGATATATATCACATTTCTTTTATATTTTTCCCATATGAGGTAATCACAATTGTTCAATTTTCATGACTTAAAATCACACACAAATCAAATAATGGCGTAAGCACGAAACAGAATTGAATGTCGAAAAACAATAGTTTTAAATTTCAAGCTCTGATCTCATAGGCTTTTATTAGTCAGGCCTGGTTTTGTGGAGAGACATAAGAGAATGATAAATCTAAAACTCAACTACAAAAACCTTACTTTAGAAGTTTTTTTACTCTTAAAAAATATGCTAAATACAAGGTTTTCCAGTGAACAAAACCCCCCAATTACTAAACAATTGAACCCCTCTCTTTCCTCTCTCAGTGCTGCAATAATACACTCCTGTTCATAATTATACGACACCTATGAAATTTTTGTTTCAGCGGTCGTAGGAGAATGGAAACACACAGTAGATCAAAATAAAGTATGCCGAATAATAGCCCAAGGAGTTGTGCACAAAATGCGCCATTCTTATCCTTGCTTGCATCACTCGTTTTCAAGTAACGGTAAAAAAAGCACACGCGCCTTGATTTAGGCTACCTTAAAATTGTTTCATAATGATACGACACATTTCATTATTTTGTTTACAGCTAATATTTTATTGGTTTAGTTGTTTATAACTAAATATTAATAGTTTATAACGGCGCCTTGTGCTTTTCCCACTTCAAAAATTCTTTTAGGCATTGAATTTATAAGGTTTTTTAAGATATTTTGGTCCAAGAGAGACCATTGTCTTAAAATTTCATTTTTGAGACTTTTAACAGTCTGAAATTTGTTGTTCTTGGCGTAATCTCGCCTGGCTAAGATACCCAAGATGTTTTCAATCGGGTTAAGGTTAGGAGAGCAAGCCGACCAATCCAAAACATTTATTTTATTGTCATTGAGGAACCATTGCGTCTCTTTGCATTCGCATTATCCTGCATAAAAACATAATTTTGGTCCTTATTTTGATCCGAAAATGACAGAGGACGATCTTGTAACACATTTTTGTAGTCTGCACTTTTAATTTCTGAGCTTGTAAAGCACAGTTCAAGCGTACCAGACGCATGAAAGGCTCCCCAAGCCATAACTGATCCGCCTCCAAAATTGCATGTTAGGAACATAAGGGGAGCCTTACCCAAATCAAGCAAATTAGGACGAAACCCATCTGGGCCATCAAGATTAAATTTTTTCTCATCAGAACAAATTATCTAAAATGTGAAATATTGACAAAAACCTTTATAACCAAAATTAAGTTAAAATTCCATATCGAGGTCCAGTTTGTATCCAAATTGTTTTCGGCAAACTGAAGTCGTGCTCTTTTGGGCTGCGGTTTTAATATCGGAATTTTTTTAAAAACTGCTCTTACAATATTTTCGGAGCTTAGTAATGTTCGTCAGATAGTCCTACGGGACACAGGACGACTGCAACACGCAGAAAGTGAGGCACACGATGAAAAAGAATTGCTTGCATTGTTAAATACTCGACGTTTGTCGCGATCAGATAGCTCCGGCTTTCTTGCAGAGCTACGCCTGACACCGTACCCATCCATATTTTTCAAAAATTTGGTAATAATACAGCGTTTTCGACCCATCAGTCGGGATATTTGGCTAACATTAAGGCCAGACTCGTTATACGCCTTAATTTTTCCCTTCTCTTCTTCGCTTAAAAAGCTACCATGCGGCATTTTATTAAAAAATGAATAAAATATTTAACAAAATTATAAAAAAACCAATAAACACTAAACCTTCCTCTTTAGCCGCAATAATTGAAATGTGTCGTATCATTTTGAAACAATTTTAAGGTAGCCTAAATCAAGGCGCGTGTGCTTTTTTTACCGTTACTTGAAAACGAGTGATGCAAGCAAGGATAAGAATGGCGCATTTTGTGCACAACTCCTTGGGCTATTATTCGGCATACTTTATTTTGATCTACTGTGTGTTTCCATTCTCCTACGACCGCTGAAACAAAAATTTTATAGGTGTCGTATAATTATGAACAGGAGTGTATTTGTATTGTCAAGCCTCTGCTCTAATCTCACATCGTTGTTCTATTGCTCAACTTTTGAATAAGTTGTGAAATGTGTATGCATGCATTTAAATTATTTTGCAATCACACACACTGAAAAGACACACATGACACACCCTACTACTTACATAGGAAAAATGCTGGCTGGCGCAAAGTTAAACACACCAAAAACTACAAGGGAAAACTAATGCAATTTAATGTAAAGGTAAACTTATATGTCGTCTCAAAGCTCATGTTTACAAGTTTCAGCATTTCCATTAGGCGAAAAACACACACAGACAGACGGACAGACGGACAGACGAGAATAAATGTTTTATAACCGACTTCGGGTGCGTCTGTTGTGACTTTAAAATAGTTTTCATTACTCCATTGTCTATAATTAGAAACTGCTGACTTCTGCTGGAGTGAGTAAGAGGAAGAAGACCGGCAAAGACAAGAGAATCATCTATAATTAGTATGTTTAGATGGGAGCCAGACAAAGGGGGGATTTGGGGTCTCGAGATTGACACGTTTCATCGACTGATACTCGAGAGCGTTCGATTGCCAATCGGAATTTGTTGATGAATTCAATTCGTTTGGAAATGAGAAACCGAATATATAGCTGCGACAGTAATGTAAATGTTTGCCTCTCCGTCTCGAGTTTGTGTTATCAGCACCCAAATTTCATCGGAACCTAAACATAAACACAGATTGTTGCCAAGCCAAGGGCAAAAACAAACAGAAAAAAATACTTATAAGTTAAAGAAACTAAAGAAGGGCAGTCGCTCTTGTCTGTGACATAGAGACTAACAAATGTTCAATAAAAATAAACTGGAATTAAGAGTAAGCCAATAAGCTCAGGGGCACCTTTAAAGAAAATGAAACGAAAGCCTACTGGTCATGTACGCTTTTCCCACAGCTGTGTCGGGAAAATTAGTAGGAATTCTGTCAAACTAATAAGAAAATTAAAGTAGTGGTAACATAGTATATTCAAAGTCTAAGAATTAAAAAAAAAAATCCATCTTTTAACAAGAATTTCCTGTAACATAATATAAAGGTATTTGTAGGGTATTCTAATTTTGGTCAGAAGCTTCTAATGATGTGAAGGAATCATTTCTGACCACATAAATCATATATATTCTTGATCAGCATCAACAGCCAAGTCGATCTAGCCATTTCAGGAGGAAAAATAATTTTTTTTAATTTTTTCAAAATTTTATAAGGGATTACATCTTTAAAATTTTTAAAAATTTATACAAATTTTCATTTTTTTAATTCTTAATTGAGTAAGCAGATTTATTAATCCAATAAAAACGAACATAGGACAGCTTTCCGTATTAAAATTAAGTCATTTTTGGCTTAGTTATGAGAATTTTAAATAAGAAAATGTGAATATTTCAAGCTTAGTTATGATCGATTTCCGATTCGATGCTATAAATGAATTGCAAGGGTATAAAAAGTTCTGTTTTACAAAGCTGCTTTCCTTTCTTGTTCAAATTAAAATTAAAATTCGCAAAATCTTCTTTTTGCGAACATTACTGTATACAAATTTAGGCATACACATACAAACATATGTGTATTGTGTGTGAAGAACGCATGAAATAAATAAAAAGAAACTTTAAAAAACTGGTCTCAAGTCTCGAAAATATGCGCTCAAGGTCGGTCAACGGATTTGCTTTTGTTGCTTTTGCGAAAGATAACAACAACAACAAATACTACTGCTACAAATGCAGCTGCAACTAAAACAACAACAACAAAGCAGTTCCAGAAAGACACAAAATGATCGCAAAAGCTGAGCTGCAACAGGCGCCGTCAAAAGAGTGTGAGAGCAAGGGGGGGTGCCAGAGTGAGAGAGGTAGATAATTAGAGAGAGTCCGAAAATTCTTTCAGCGGAAGCAGCGGCGGCAAACGTAAATTAAAAGCAATTGTAGAAATTTCCTGAGTTGGCGAAAAAAAGAATGTGAAAATAGTTTTTTTTTTAGTTGCCACCCGCGCACTTACACAGAAAAAAAATAAATAAATCAGACACTGGACAAAAAGATAGTATGACAAAGAATGTGTATTATTTATTTTCAGAAAAATATAAATATCTAAAGACATTACAAATAATTGAATATTTTTAATTTAACCATAAAATTCGGTAATCATTTAAAGATATTCGATCCTTTAATATCGCTATCGTAAAACGATCTGTTTGTTATTCTCTCTGCACTATTTTACACCCACACAAACACACGGAAAGCTTCGCCGTTATTTTCCAGTAAATATTTGAATTCCGCGAAGCGAAAGGAAAGGCAGCCAAACAACTTTTGCGGTTATTAAGCATAGGATAATAAACAGAGAAGCAGAGCAAAAGGCACGCATGATCAATGGGGGGGGGGAATAGGCCGGGTCGGGAGAATGGGCAAATAGGAGAGTGGGAGCAGGAGAGGCAGAACATGCCCACGGCCATGTGCCAGCTAGCCGTCCCGCTCTGGCGCCCGCAACAAGTGCACGAAGAGAGCCGAAAAAAGGAGCCATAAGAACAAAAGAAAAACAAACGCGAAACTCCGAATATGAATTTGAGAAATATACAAATTTAAGGAAATAAAACACCACTAGTACTCACTTTATCCAGACACTTGAGCTCCTCGATGGGATAAACCACCTTCTGACAACGCGCACAGGTCTTGTTCATCTTGTTGCTGTAGTTGTTGTTGTTGTTGCTGCTGCTGCTGTTGGTCTCCTCTCTTCTCCTGCTTCTCGTTTTTACCGCTGCTTACGTTTTTGTTGTAAGCCTGTGTGTATGTATAGCACTTTTATTTACACAGGATGCTTATTGTTGCTTAACTATTTTGGCCGACTCAATGGGGGGGGACACTATTCCACTGTACACACGATGATATATGCTGCTCTTCCCGATCAATTTTGCATTTTGCGACTATTTTCTGTGTATTTTTTTGTATTCTGAAAATGTATATTTGTGTGTGTTTTGAAGCCGAGAATTTGTTTAGCACACGTTCATACACAAAACAGCTAATAACAGGTTTGCTTTGTTTTGTTGTTTTCGATTTCGTGTTGTTATATAAATCGCAGCGCCCCGTTGTTCAATTTACACTTTTCCCCGTGTTTCGTTAATATTTTTCAGCTGCTGCGACTGCGCTGCTGCGCTGCTGGGCTGCGGGTAAGAAAGCGACGCGCGCACCGAAAATAAAGAGCAGAAAGAGAATGGCGTTGGCGTCGCAGTCGGCGCTGGTGATTTATTCCAAATTTGTTGTTATTAAGTCTTGCGACCTGTATTTGGTTTAATTGTTAACTGGCTTTTAATCTTGATTTTGTTGGAAGCGCGACGAGACTTTTACGAGAGAAATTCGTTAAATATATATATGTAAAAATGGTCACTGAAACACTGGTGCTCGCCTTCACTTTTAACTCTTATTTAATAGCAATAAACTGCTTTAAATCGGCTTCCACAGCAAAGTTTCCAAGAATCCGTTCCGTCCGCGACTCTTTTTCAATTCCGTTCGTTTAGAGTGACCGCAACACAGTGTTTCCAAGAGACCGCAGCACATTGTTGGCAGTTTAGCTAGCTTCCCGCTATATCTGGCATATTTGAAAAGCTTGAAAAGCGTATGGGAAAGCTTTCAAAGTTTGCAACTAGCTTATAGCCAATTGCTGTTCGTTGTTGTCGCTTTATTTTGAAATTTTAGGGGGAAAATTTTGAGAACGCGAGCGCAGCAAATCAACTTATTTTGTATTCCAAAGATACAAAAGTATCTATCTATCTATCGAAACAAAACGTAAGCCCTGTAAATACTCTCAATCTCTTGTCTTTTTTTGATGCACTTTTCTGTAAATTAACAGAATTCTCTTATGAGCAAGGTTGGCAGGTCTGGCATATTTGAAATGGAGAAGCTTATCAAATTTCCCGCTAGCCTTACAAATAGCTTATTTTAATAGTAATTTAGCACATAATTGTATAAAATAAATATAGCTATTTTTTATACTTTGTGTTTTTTTTATAAGAAATATAAATATTTATTCATCAAATTTAACAAACCAATCGATTTCAATTGGCGCAACGCAAATATGAGCAAAACTCCCTCATCGCCTGTGATCGATAGCACCGATAACCGCCATACCGGCTGCGGCACAGGGTGTCCCCGGCAATTCACCACCCACCACCCTCGTATCCTTGGAGTTTTACTATCGAATTTTTTGTGTGTGTCCTGCAGCCTCAGGGCGTATGACTAACTTGACTTAAATTAAACGAAAAACCCAAGAAAATCGGTTAAAATTAATTGCCAAAGATGTGCTGAGCACGGGTAGAGCATAAAACAGTGTGTAAATAGCAGGCGAAAGAGTCGAATTGGATTTTTCTTCGCTCTGCAGAAACCAACCGCGAGTGTGTCACTCAATTCTTTTTGCTCCCCATTCGCGACGACAAAGTACCCAAATTCGTGGAAAAGTTTCGCCATTAAAACGTAACGCAAGAACAACGACTAAGTATATTCTAAAAGAAGAGAAAGCCGAGAAAATATTCCGCTGCATGATGAAAGGCGTAGTAGTAATTGCATCTCTGTCCCACCCCCCGAGACGCCTTAAAGTAGGCAAAGTGGAAATAAACACGCACACAGATGCCACCATTGAAAAATCAATAATCGGCGCATGTGTGTGCGAGTGAGACCGATGCCGGCGTGTACAATCGACCGACTGGCATAATAACAACAACACATACTCCAAACAGACATTGCGTGGGAGCGAGACGGCCAAAGCGAACAGCAGGACAAGTGTAAACAAAGAAGCACAAAGGCAGTAAAAAGGGAAAACACAACGAAGTAGACAGATAAAACGCGTTATAGCAGTTGTCCCACTTATAAAATAGGAATTAAATTACGTTAGCAATAAAAGCACAATCATTATACGCAACATTATTCGAGGCCAAAGGAATTACTACACGAATGCCAATCAGCTTTTTCTGAGCAAAATGCAGACGCTGCGCAAGAAAACGAGTCCTTGTAAATGTAAGTTCAAATGAATTCTATATGTATTATATTTCAAACTTGAAAATAAAGTCCCTTTTTGGCTAGTTTTGGTTTTTAAATTCCGATTGATATCACGCTAACCTATCGATCCTCTAAGCTGCTATATCGATAGTCCGCTTCGCAGCATCTGCCAATCGACTATTAAAGTCGAATAGCAGCTGCTGCGCCGGCGTCGTCGCAGTCGGCAGGTGGTGCAGTTCAAAAAAGAACATAAAAAAAAAAAAACAACAACGAACAGACAACAATTCGCCAAAGATATTTGTGTTCTCCGCCATGAAATTCTCCAAATAATAGAGTGAAATCAGTGTGCGCGGGAGTGTGTGTGTGTGTGAATGGGAATATGTATATGTTTTTGTTTGTTATTTGAATTGAACAAACTGCGACAGTCGTCCAGCGAGAGAATCGCGAGTGTATTGCCTGCTCTCTCATTCGGTTTTATTCATTCCATGATCTCGGATCCGCCGTGCTTCGTGCTCTCCTAGAATTTAATTAAACGTACAGCAACAACAACAACGCACGTCGCGAAAATCGTTGCGGTATTATTGCTTTGTGTACTCTCCATTTGTTTCATCCCACTCCACCCCGCGCCAACGAGTTTCCACCATTCTCTCCATGGAAATGTCAACACAAATACACACAAAAGTGGGGCAAAGAATGCGACAACAGTGATTTTCGGTGATTTGTTGACACTCGAGTGACTCCTAGTGTGAGGTGTTCCAGAGAGTTTTCCCAGCCAGCAACAGAGGCAGTGTTGTCTGAGCCGCTGGAGAAACATGGTCAAATCCCTGGTGGCCAAGCTGTCCACAGCCTCCTCCAATCTCTCGTTGGCCAGCACCTTTGGCGGTGGCAGCGGCAGCGGCGCGGCAGAGGAAACGAATTACGCAAAACGTTAGCAAAAACAAACGAAGAAATAATACACAAATGCAAAGCACAGTGGTCGCTCCCTAAAGTGAATTCAGAAAATAACACTAATACCCAGATTTTTGAGTGTATATTAGGAGAGCTTTCGAAACTTTTAAATATATAAAATTTTAAATAATTAGGAGAAAAAAATTCTATGTAGGAGTGTAACCGTGGGAAGTTTACTGTAACAGTGTTTCTTTATATAAAAACATTAAATATTTAAAAATTTTCAGATTCACTAGCATAAATCATATATATATATATTTTTTTTTTATATACAATTCCCTTGTTAAGAGAGTGTACTGTATATTCCCAAAACGACCTTGACTTTGCCAAAGCGGAAAAACTTCCGAATATAAAAATGCAGGTCAATTTACCGGAAGAAAAATTTAATTTAAATTTTAAATAGAAAAACTCTATCTATATTTATTTATTTATCAAACCGTTTTTAAGCAATATTTTTAGGAGAATTTAAAATATATTATCACAGAGCTGAATTAATTTATTTATGCATTAAAAAACATGATGTACAAGTAAATATTAAGCTATTTATAGCTGAATTCCATTAAGTATTGAGATCATTCGATGAAAATTGATCAGCCAAGCGAAAAATAACTAAAGTGCTTGGAAAATAAATCATTAAAAATACAAACATATTTGCATGTATATTGTATATATTAAAAATGCCAATTAAATATGGCGAGGCTATAAAATAATTATTAGAGATTTATTCATGCAGCAATTGAATCGAAACCTATTTGAATAATTCAAAATAGGAAACTATATAAGAAAAATATTAAATATATACAAGGAAACTACAGTAAAATATAGTTTTTTGTTATTAATTTAAGCAACAAACCTATGTGTAATGTTTTTCAATTAATTTCATATAGAAAACCTTAGCAAATTGTTTACAAAACACTGTTTTTCTATGAACCCATTTAGTTTAGCCACACCCCGGAAAACTCAAGGTTTTCCCAAACTAGCGAGTGACCACTGCTGCCTCGTTTATAAAACATTTTAGCCAAAATGCAAACACACCTTTGAGCTAAAACCCATACACAGATACTAATTCTACCTTTCCCATTTGCTATTTTCCAGATCGCAACGATCCGGGACGCTTTTTCGGCGATGGCGTCCAGTTCAAGGCAAAGCTCATCGGCATTCTGGAGGTGGGCGAGGCCCGTGGCGACCGCATGTGCCAGGAGGCGCTCCAGGATCTCAAGATGGCCATCCGTGCTGCCGGCGAGCACAAGCAGAGGATAACCATTCATGTGACCATCGATGGGCTGCGACTGAGGGATGAAAAGACAGGGGACTCCCTGTATCACCATCCGGTCCATAAGATCTCCTTCATTGCCCAGGATATGACCGATTCCAGGGCCTTTGGCTATATCTTTGGATCACCAGATAGCGGGCATCGGTTCTTCGGCATCAAGACGGACAAGGCGGCCAGCCAGGTGGTGTTGGCCATGCGTGATCTCTTCCAAGTGGTCTTCGAGCTGAAGAAGAAGGAGATTGAGATGGCGCGCCAGCAGATTCAGGGCAAATCCCTGCACGATCACGCCAGCCAGTTGGCCTCCCTGTCCTCGCTGAAGGCCGCCGGCCTGGGCGGCGTAACACTCGGTCATGGGGATCTGGCCAGCGGTGGAGGAGGTGCCTCCGGTCATGCACTCACCCTGCTAGGCGGTAGCCTTGGCGGTGCCTCCAATGGGACGAGCAGGTTGGGCGTGAGCCTGGACGTGGCCAAGGTCTCAGGAGCGGCAGCCAAGGAGGTAAGTATTAATGGATTTTGCCTGACAGAGATTCCTTTTAATAAAACCTTCAAAATTATACAGATCTCCCCCGAGTCGGTGGCCGATCTGGTTGATCTGGAACAGGAGTTAACCTCACTGCAGCGGGGTATCAGCCAAATGGAACGGATTACGCCCAATGAACCCACTACCATGGGATCGAGCAGTGGTGGTCATCCCTCATTAGCCAAGTCAGCCAGTGAAGATGATCCCTTCGGGGACTCCTTCATCTATGTGCCCTCCTACAGTATCCTGCCACCGCCTCCCGAATCTGGACGGAATAGGCACAAGCCACCAAATAAGACACCAGAGACGGTGGCCAGTTTGGAAGCGATGCTCTCACCACCCCCGGGAGCCAGTAACTCCCAATCTCCGGCCACCACAGCACTACAGGCTGCGGCGGATAACGATGATGATGACAACTGGCTGCAGGAATTGGATCACCAGAATGATGTCTTTGACACCACGAAAGTAGCAGTGGGTGGCAGTGGTCTAGGATCAGTCTTAGCCATGGCTCCGTTGGCATCTAGCGAATCAACGGCCACACCCACACAGCAACTATCGGAGATCACAGGTGGATCAGTTCCCCTAACAGATCTGGACATTGGCCTGGGCATGGGTTCAGCCTTGGGATCAGGAAATGAGGAACAAGCCTCGACGGTCTTGTCTTTGGGTGAGTTTAAAATGTATATTCTACTCTCATTCTCATCTCTTGCTGGTGTCTCTCATCCATCTTGTGTTCATTATTGAAGTTGTCATTTGTGTGTATGTGGAATTCTGTGGCTTTGTGAGATTTGTCATCAGCCATTCCCCATTATTTAAGCGATGAAAAGAGCTGTCTGTGATACATGAAACGAGAGATACTTGTGTCTGCCAGCCAAGGGAGTAAACTTGGGTCAATTTAATTGAACTGAACTATATGTTTGAAGGGGGAAATTCGTAAGTTGTCTTTACACGAACTTGTTTTCCTAGAGAATCTTACAAGTTATTGTATAAAATTTATAGAGAACTCCTCTAAATATATCTTTGAGAAGGTTTATCTATCTAAAATAAAGATCCTTTGAGCTCCCTAACTTAAAACTCTCTCCCGATTGTTCTGACAGCTCCTTTAATGGCTTACTTTATTCCCATATTATTTATATAAATATTACATAAGCTACCTGTGGTTTTTGTTAGTTTTAATCCCCTTACCCTAATCCCCAATCCCAAAACTCACCCACATCACCCAAAAAGATCAGAATTCTTTTAAAAAGTCGCCTTGAGTTCATACTTTTTAACTCTTTTTTGAGTTGTTCTTCTAACCTTTGAGTTTTTGGAATCTCCCTTCCGATTCTTTGAAGATTTTTCCTATCAATTACAAACCATATTGTTCCATATTGTGCAGATGCGTTCACGGATCTGGATCCGCTGGGCACGGGACGCACCAGGCCGTATGTCGATAAGAAATACTTCTTCCAAGAGCTAAAGAATCCGCCAAAGAAACTGCTCAAGGAGCTTAGCTCTGGGAGCCAGGCGGGTCTTGGCCTGGGTGGTCTCACCCTAGGCCAGCCGGATGGTCTCTTTCCGGAGGATAGCACCACCATCTCCACCATTACCACAACCACCACAGCTACTAACATCACCGCAGGTACTAACCAATCACAAAAAAAAAAGAAAACCTTACTAACACCATTTTCATGCACAGAGAAAAGGTTTCAAAGATCAAGAAAAATTATTCAAAATGTATTAAAAACTAAAAATCTATCTAAAAATATAAAATAATCTTTTGAAATGTTCTCTCTGTGCACCCAAAAAAAAGAAAAAACTACTTTCGAGTGAGCATCTCTCTAAAGTTTGCACTTGCACCGCAGGGAATCCGCTCCAGAACTCGGCTAACACACTAACCACCACCGCTAGCACCGTCGCCAGTCTGGGCCAGCTCCTGTCATCCGTTAACGTCATTCCTTCGACAGTTCCCATTTCCGTTCCATCGTCCCTTTCCCTACCTGCACCCACTCCCGCTCCCGCCACCATTTCCATTTCCCATTCGATCCCCTCGAGCGCCGAGCTAAAACTCTTGCTTGGCCATATCACTAATCCGCCTAATCCCACCGGACACTATTATACCGCAGAACCGCCAACGCTGACCACACTGGAGGATCCACATCCGTCGACACAGGCGGATCCAGTGCTGCTGCCCAGAGATACGGATCCGTTTTCGCCCACGCGTAAGAAGAGCGATCCGGATCCATTTCAGGAGGGTGATCTCTTTGCCAAACTGGATGCCTTTGAGTTTGAGGCACCGCCGGCGATACCAGCTCCCTCGATACCGGAATCCAAGGCGAACGTATTCAATGGACCACTCCAGGTGCAGTTGCCGCCAGAGAAGGAGCAGCAGCATCAGCATCAGCATCCGCTCCAGCTCCAGCAGCCACCGAGTACGGTGAGGAACAGGCCCACAGCCTCGGTGTCTGCCCTTCAAAGCGGCGGCGGGAGCAGTGGTGGAGGAGCCCTGGATGTGATCTCCAGTATTAGCAACAAGAAGATGCCCCATTTGTTTGGCCAATCGAGATCCTTTGGCAAATCCGGCTCGGATATTGGTTCCAGTGTCAACATGCGTCGTTTGCAGGAGAGCGATTCCCTGAGTGAAACAGAGACGGCACCGGAGCCACCGCCACGTCCAGACTCCGCTCCATACTCGGAACCACCGCCGCTGCCGCCAAAGAAGCAGTTCAGCGACCTTGTGATCCGACCCACGCCCGCCAATCCCGTGCCACCGCCCACTGCCGGGCGGTACGAGTACTTGAACAGCAGCGCCACAACGGGAAGAAGGACTCTCTCATCGGCTGCAGATGCTCCACCCATTCCATTGCCATCGCGTCGCGTGGGTCGCTCCGATGGCTGTTTCCCAGGTCCAGGAAGGCCACGAAAGCCGGGACACACTGAAGATGATTATCTGGCGCCATTGGGAGCTCCACCGCCATTGCTGCCACCTCCAAGCCAAGGATCCTCGGCCCGGGCAAGACCGCAAAGGCAGGCATCGCTGGGAAGGCCACAGGATATATACGAAAACAAGGCGGAAATCCTGCAGGCGCAGCAGGCACAGCAGGCTCAGCAAGCTCATGAGGGCAGCTCGACCACCCTGGCTCCGGACATCACGTTGACGCAACTGCTCACTCTGGGCATGGATGATCTGGCCATTAAGCTAAATGTTCCCGCCAGCAAGCTAAGCACCATGACACTGGTGCAATTAACAGCCTATCTTTCCGAGTATTTGTCCAGTGAAAAGAGCCAGGAGCGACGATCCTCTCCAGCCAATCCCACACCTGCTCCAGCACCTTCCAGCACCGCGGCCGTTTTCAAGGTGAACTTCGATCAGCAGACCTCTTTTGTGGCCAAATTCGATGACACTTTCGGTGAGGATGAGGTGGTGGGTGTTGGGTCTTTGGACTCCAACTTTGTGGCCAACTTTGCCAATTTCAATGAAGCTCCAGCCGCAGTGACCATGCCAGGTGTATCACCCGTGGCGGCAACAGTGCCCTCAGCGGATCGGTATGCCGTATTCCGAGAGATCATTGACCAGGAGTTGCAACAGCAGCAGCAGGAAACGGATCTCATGGGTGATCTTACGCCACCGCCCATTGATGAGACGCAAATCAAGGACAGCCACGAAGGAGGATTGGAGGTGAACAATATCGGAGCAGAGCTACCAATCGATGCTTTGGATGTTACACCAGCTCCCAAGATCGATACCAAGATCACCGAAGTGGTGGCCCAGGCCAAGGATCGTTATGCAGCCTTGCGCGACATTATCCTGGTAGAGAATCTCTTCGACAAGCCAGCAGCTGCCAGTGTCCAGCCCCAGGAGAAGGAAAAGGATCTGCTGCAGGACTTTCCCGAGTTTAGTGATGAGTTCAATGAGGATCACGATCTCCGCCAGATCATGGATCATCAGGATGTGCATCAATCACATCATTCCCAGAGTCGACATGGTCTCGTGGACAGTCGAGGCTTTCCAGCGGAGCCCTCTTCATCCGCTCTAACCGTAGACGACGATGACGAGGACGAAGATGCCGATGCGGGTGGTGAGAGCAGTTTGGATAGCAACGAAAAGGATGCGGAACCGGTCAGTGGACAAGATCAGTACGAGAAGTTGTCCACTTCAACGCAGCAACTAGATGCCGCTGCTCCCAATGCGGATGATGTGTTGCAGCAGCCACAACAACAATCTGTGCCTCCCAAGCAGGATCAGAAATTCCTATCCGTGCTCACGGCTCCTGGAGGTGGTACCAAAGATGACATCGAAATCGATGAGCTTATGCATCGTGCCATTTCCAATCTATCCCTTGATTCCCGGGATCGCATTTCACCCGCCACATCCTCGGCGGCCCCGTCGCGAGGAGCTCCTAGCCTGCACACACCCTCGCAGTTCAATGATGTCAGCACCTCACCCATTCCCCTGCAGAAGCCACCCACAGTGATGGGGATTCCATCGCCAGTGCCCTCCCAGCTGTCAGCAGTTTCCCAGCTCATTGATACCGCTACCAAACAAATGATGGGAGAGAGGGATAAGGAAGCCTCCCGGGAGAAGCAATCATGGGCCACCTTTGATTCACCCAAGGCCAGGGGTAAGGCCAGGCTAACACTACCGCCGCCACCTCCGCCTGCCTCCAATACATCACAACCGGACACTGTGGAGTCACCTTGCAGCTCGGATCCCCGGGATGATGGTTGGTCCAAGCAGCAGCGCCGCTGGGCCAAAAAGGAACGCCAGCAGACATCCTCATCTTCCAGGGATTTAAGTCCCTGGGATGATGAGACGCCAGAGTATCTAAAGCGACGTCAGATGGCCGCCGCCCAAATGTCACATCCGCATCAGCAGTCGCAGCAGCAGATGCCACCGGATAGACATGGTTACTATATGCGACATGCCAGGCGGATGAACTCCTGCGATGAGGATTATAAGTAAGTGTTTCTTTTTGTTAATTTTCATGTTTAATTTATGATTCCCAATCCCTTCCTGCAGCTACGATGCAGAGTTCATGGCACGCCGGGATCAGCAGCAGCAACAACAGCAGCGGAAATTCAAGCATGGTCTATCCCGCAGCAGGGATAACTTTGAATTGGGTAAGCTGCTACTCCAAACCACCTCCTATTTCCACAATCTCATTATAAATATTTCCTTTCTCCCACAGATTCACCCAGCTGGTACCATCATCCGGCCCATCACACCTGGTCACCGCAGGAGATTGAACAGACGCGTGCCCGTTCCTTTGAGCGTGCTGCCTACGAAAGATCTAGCTATGGACCACCACCGCCAATCTACGACAAACGTGGTCAGGTTAGGAGCAAATATCGTGGTGACCACAGGGACAGAGATCGGGAGAGGGATCGTGAGCGTGAATATCGGGATTATGCTCGTCCCAGCTACGATTTCGACTATGAAAATGTGTACGAAGATCGGGGCGGACGTTCTCCAATGGCCTACAAACCCGGCAGAGGCGGTGTGGATTACCTGTACGATCGAGAACGTGATCGGGATCGAGATCGTGAACGCAAGTCCTTTGATCGGGAAAGTCTCGAATCGTATGAGAGTGCCACCCGGAGACGTCGAAGTTTTGGCAGTGGCAACGATGTCTACGGGAGCCTGGACAGTCGTGATGATTATCGTGGTGAAAGGGAAAGGGATCGAGAGCGAGATCGTGAGCAGATGAAGACTCGGTCGCTGCGAAAACCCACAACCACATCCGGCAAACTAAGAATTAGTGGTGACATCGACTACGAACAGGATTCGGAGCAGGATTTCCAACAGCGAACAGCTGTGGGTCGGAGTAGCCTGCAGCGACCTAGCGATGGGGTCCTGCCCTCCAGTGCCACCGTAGGCGGTCCACAAAGGCTACGCAAGAGCAGTGGCTCTAGTCCTTGGGATGGCGAAGGTAAGTTCAGTTCTCCTTCTAAGCAATCTAATTAAGCTTAACGTATGTTTATTTATGATTCAGAACCCTCTTTGCCTGGCCAGAAATCATGGAAGCGACCAGCTAGCGCTGCTGAAACAGAGCGACGTCTGGCCGAGAGTCGTCGGGCGGCAGCCTTGGGACAAACTCCCTCGGATGGCGAGAAAGAACGAAGGTCTGTTTGGAAGCAATTTTACCAAGAATAAATCTGATAAATTCTCTTCCCTAGATTCCGCAAAAAGACCCGTGCTCGCAGTGCCAAAGATCTAGCCACAGTGGGCGTGACCAGCGTTGGTGCTGCTCCACTTCCCTCCCGATCTGGCTATGGCCGTAGTGGCCTTAGAGATAACTATGACTACATATGTCCAGGACAGCGCAACGAGGTGGATGACGACGATGATGATGACGAGGACTATGTGGATGATGAGCCGCCAACGGATGAGGATAAGTTCGAGCGTTTGAATCGACGGCGGCATGAGATGCATCAGCGAATGTTGGAGTCCGAACGACGGCAGCTGGAGCGCCATCAGCCTCCATCGCTGGCCAAATTGCCTGGACAGAATCGTAACCGTGGCGGAGGTGGCGGTGTCGTGGTCAACAGTGACTACGGTTTTGTGGACAGCTATGAACAGACACCCACACCGACACCGCGTTCGAATGCCAGTAGCACAGGACCCGGCGGAGGTGGCGGTGGCCTAATGATGAGCGGCGGCGAATCCTCCGCGGGAGTCACTAGCTCCAAGTTCAACTTTGATGACGGTTTCGAGTCGGACTTTAATCAAAGTTCACCGCCACCGGCACCCGCTGGCACCGCCTCCAGTTGCAATTCCACGCCAGCCGGCCCGGTGTCTGGAGGTGGGAATAACAATGGTGGATCCAAGAGCCTCTTCCGCTTCTCCAATGATTTCTCGGATCGTGAGAAACGTGAACAATTTGAGGCGGAAACGCCGCCAACCTCGACGCCGCCAATTACGCAGAAACTGCGATTCGATGACAATGTCAAGGTCTCTCAGTTTGATGATGCCGCCTTTGAGGATGACTTTGCCAAGGCATCCTTTGATTTCGAAAAGGAGCAGGCAACGGGAGCAGGAGCAGGAGCTGCAGGCGGAGGATCTGGTGGTGCCATGACCCGGAAACAGAATATGCGAACAAGCAAATTACAGCAGCGACAAGAGTTAATTAAGAAATCCGAATCGGTGAATATATTTGCCAAGAAGCAAGAGGATCCCTTCGAGGACGATGAGTTCTTTAAGTCACCGGATCACGAGGAGCCGATAAAGGAGCAGGATCAGGATGGCGGTGAAGCGGGCAAGTTCCAGTGGAACGAGGACGCCAACTTTGCCAAGTTCGATGAAAACATGTGATTTGACCAACTCTTTGCCCAGGCATCGAGCAGTAGTCAACGATGTCCGCAGGAGCAGGAGCCATCGATGGACCACAACTATGCGGAGATTGATGTGATCAACGACTCGGATTTCACCTATCTGACCAACCTCAACCATTATTACCAACAGCAGCGGCTGCAAAGCCTCCGACAGAGCTTAAATCGCAACCACATCTACTGCAATCTTCCTGTTCAACAGCAGGAGGAGAAGGAAAGGGAGCAACCTCCTCCACAGACCAGATCCACCTCCACATCCACAAGTCCTTGGCATGAGCCCAAGTCCAAGTCAAAGCTGCTGGTGCTAAAGAAGCCAAAGAAGTGGAAACTCAAGCGGACTTTGGATGACTTTGTCAAGTGTCTGATTATAGCCTCCTCATCGGCGGAGCATGTGTACGATTACGATGTGCTGTGGTAGTAGGAGCAGGAGGATTGGGAGGAGGATAACTCCTGAAGAGAGAGAGAGAGAGACAGAACAGATTCCCCACGATATATATATATCATTCGCCACATATATCTAGTCAACATAACTATCAATTGCCATTACCAATTTGTAATATCGTAAAGCTCCGTCTCTCTTTCCCAGGACTTCCCGCAGCATTCTGTCCAATCCTGTGGCTTATAGATCCTATCATCCTATCCCCCACTTCGAACAGATTGTATATATAGATATATCCCAAGAACAAATAATGGAGATTCCAAGCAAAAGCCATAGTGAATAATATGCGTTTGTTAAAGTTAAACCCAACGCAAAAAGACCCAACACACTCGACAGCTAATACTCATGGAACCCAATCATCAATCGATCCTACGATCGATCCAACTAAACGAAAGCAACTAATCAATTGCCTATGCTAGATGTCGTATAATCCCATATAAAAAGGGGGCAAGATTAATCCACTGTGCTAGAGCAAAACAAGATACTACATTATATTATAATAATATTCCTAGGATACGTTTATTGGCATCATTTTTTTATGATTCGAGTTGCACTAAACGACTAATTAGTTTAATTACCCCATCATACCCCAAGGTGTTTTATGATTTAACTACGTATTTATACACATAAATATATATTTACACGTAACTGAAACTGAACGATCAAGGGTAACTCAACATCCCCAAAAGCAGCTAAATTATAATAATACGATAATTATACAAAATACGAGCATATTCTTTAATATGTAATGCAATTAATACGAAAATGATAGTTATTACCAAGAGATGTTTCAATTATTATTGTATTTTTTATTTATCGTCTCATCTTATTTGGTTCTATTAATTAAAATCTGTGAGAAGCATTATAAATATGGGTTTTATTTGTTATCTAGCTGTGGTTAAGGTTCAGGTAAGTAGTGATTTCTTTAAGGAATCACTGGGAATCATCAGTAAATATAGATATATACATAAAATTGTTAAAAATCAGACCGCAACATAACTCAAATGCGAAGATTGCAACATTAACCTAAAACCATATCTGTTGTTGCCTTTGCCAAAGCCTGTAATTTTTTAAGCCACTTTTGGAGCCAAGTCTTTGACAATTTGGAGCTGCAATTATCAGGGCTAGGTCCGCAGACTCCTCTACAGGAAAAAATCTATAAAACCTCAGCTTCAAACCAAACCAAAGCACATTCAGTTTCTGGTTTTAACTGACAGCAGCAGCAATCTACCTAAAATGCAGCAAAAGGTGAGCAGAATCCTAGAGAAATCCTATCAGTATTAAAGATTATTATCCCTAATTCCAGTTGATTATTATATCAATGGGTTTACTGGCCATTGTGACTGCCAAGCCTACGGTGGCTGCATCTTTGGTTCCGGGAGTGACACCTTTTAGGTTCTATCCAGGATTTGGAGCTCCTTTTGATGCTGCTACAGCCTATGCTGCCACTCCATTTGCTGCTTCCCTGGGTAATCCTTTGGGTGCTTCTCCCTTGGCCGTTTCCAGTAGTCAGCGTTTGGATTACTTTAATCAATTTAATGCTGCCTATGCTCCAACGGTTACAACGCCTGCTCGTCTCCTGGCTAATGCTGGACCCTTCTCAGGTCAATTCCCAGGACCTCTTCCTGCTTCCCGTTTCATACAGCCTGGTCGCTTTATTGCCCCTGGAGTGGCAGCTCCATTTTTCATTTGACTTTTAAATAGTTTATAGTTATTCTTTAGTTTTTGCTTAAAGTGCAATAAAAAGTACTACATTGGTTAACCGCAAAAAAATCGTTGAGTTTGTAGCTCTATAACAAAAACATCAAACAAGAAACATACTTAAAGTTCAAGCAAATCCTTAGCTGACGATTAATTAATTATGAGGTCCATGGCAATAAGGTAATTAATTGGAATATAAAGCATAGCTGGGACAGCTGACTCTAGACCTAGGCCTGATCCCTCCTATAGCATCCATGTATATCCATAATATAATTGTCAATGGTAAGACTTACCCCAGTTTGGGACACGTCATGGCTTAATTCCTCACAGTCCAGAGTTATATTCTTCAATTTGGTTTCTCATAATATCAGCGAAGTCATCTTCTTCCTGTTTATCCAGATGTATTGGTTGGCCACGTCATAGTTTTTGAGTCGCAAGAGTAATCACTATCACTATCACCACTGATGTTAACACTAGGTACCCCTAGGACAGACTGAGGCCGGCCGGCGGCAGCGCGCTGTATTTATAGTCTCCGAGCAAAGAGAACAGAGAATGAGAGAACTAGAGAGAAAGAGGCATCGCTAGCGAAAGGCAGAGCAACATAGAGAGTAAGAGATAGCTCTAGAGGCACACATAGAGGGGCAGCCATACAGAGCGAGCGAGAGAGGGAGTTTTGCATTTTCGTCTGCATTTAACGATTGTTCCTATATTATATATGATATAGTCGTCCGATTTTAATAAAATTAATATTGAAATTATAAAATATTACAAAATAACTTTATATCAAATTAGATATAAAATATGTTGAAAACTATTTTCCTATCATTCCTATGGCAGCTATATTATATAGTTTTTCGATCCGGCCCGTGCCTACTTATATAATTGTGAGCCTATATAGAAGACAAACTGGAAAATTCTTCTCAAACTAAGCTTCTTTTCCTTTCTTCTTTATTTAATAAATGTGTTATATATTTTCATATGTTTTACATACATACTTTCATTTGAATTCGAATACTATCACAATAAATTGTAGGTGGAATATATATTTAAACAAAGATAATCCTTTACCAGACACCCCTATAGCCATAACCATAGTTATATGTGGGATAATAGTACGGATATGTGTACTGATATGTGGAGGTGTAAGGATAATGGTAGACTGGATACTGAGGATATGAGGGATATCCTCCACTATACTTGTAATAAGTAGTTGGAGAATATGTGGTGGTTGTGGGCACATAGACATTGCGATTCCAATTACGGGTAACAAACTGATGGCTGGTGGCCAAGGGAATCACGGTAGTGGGAACACCAGGAGCACCTGGTACAGCAGCAGGAATCACTCCATTTGTGGCAGTTGTAAAGCTGGTTTGGGACAGAATCCCCAGAACCATCAGCAGAAAGTAGCCCAAAGGGGCAGCAGATTGCTAATGAAAAGGAATTTATAGATTTATAAATAATAACTCTATTTAAACCCTCTCTAACTTACGATCTTCATTATGAGGGACTTCAAGTGGTGTTACTCCGCCCGGGTTACTATATAACTGACCACTGTCCACTCGTAACCCGGTCGAGTGGCTTTTATAGCCCACCATACTTTGACTTTCAAATGCAGTTGACCATTTTGGGGTAAAGGGGTTGCCATTTTTGGGCCACTACATTGCATTCAAGGGCAGTTTTGCACATTCCCAAAGAAGAGAAGATATGGAGGGCCCTATGCATATATAAACCATATCTATATTTGGATGACGCAAGCGGAATTTGCAACACAACAAAGGAATCTTCATTGAATTATGTTGCAATCCATTCATTAATTCCAAAAGAATTAAAAACCTACTAAAAAAAACCAACTGTGTAAATATACGTTACTTTTGGTTGAGTATGTATATAAATAGATGGGTTACTTGAACCAATCATCATCATTCACCAATATGAAGCTTCTTCTCCAGCTGTCACTGCTTACTCTAGGCCTGAGTCTGGCTCTGGGTCAGATAATGCCCCGAAGCAGCTGGTGTCCTGTGCCGCTCTCACCGCGTCTGCCCAGGCTAGCTGGTCCTGTGAGCTACATCATCATTCATCACACGGCCACGGCGCAGTGCTTCAATCCTCATCAGTGTCAGCAGGCCCTGAAGAACATACGAGCTGGTCATCTGCGCCGGAGATTCAGGGATATTGGTTATAATTTCCTTATTGGAGGAGATGGACGCATTTACGAGGGCCTGGGCTTTGGGATACGAGGCGAACATGCTCCCAATTATAATAGCAGATCCATTGGCATTGCTTTTATTGGGAATTTCCAAAGTGAGTTCAAAGGAGGATGATCTTTGTAATGCATTTATTCTATGTTCCATTGCTTTAGATGGCTTACCACCTGCCCAGATGATGCAGGCTGCCCGGACCCTCATCCGTATTGCCGTACAACGTCGTCAGGTCGTGCCTAAGTACTCTCTGATAGGTCATTGCCAGACCAAGGCCACGGCCTGTCCAGGAGTACATCTACTAAACGAGTTGCGAAAGTTATCGGGTTATAGGAGAATATAATATTTCTCCATTTAAAAAACACCCAAAACTTGCAAAAGTTGTGTAAATAAATCTTATAAACTTGTACTTTAAAAACACTTATATCTTCTTTTCATTTATATATATTTTCTATAAAAATTAGGTAAAGTCTAGCCTAGTTCTGACGCCAATGAGGCCACGTCTTAATCTCATTGTACAGAGCATCACCAGGACACGAGGTGGCCTTAGTCTGGCGATGTCCAAACAGAGTATAATTATCCTTAAGGTGTCCACGCTGCTTGGCCAACTCAATCAGATCCTTGGCATTCTGGAGCATTTGAGCTGAGGGAGCACTACGCTCAAAGTTTCCTATGAAAACAATGCCAATACTTTTGCGATTATAGTTGGGAGCATGTGATCCCTGAAGGCCAAAGCCACGACCCTCGTACACCTTGCCATCGCCGGCGATTATGAAATTATAGCCAATATCACTGAAATTTCTGCGTCCCTTGTGATCCGATTGAATGTTCTTGATCATGCGTTTGCATTGATCCGATGTGGAGCATCCATTGGGATTGTCCGAGTGATGAATGATCACATAGTCCACAGGTCCCGAGATCCTAGAAGGCGAACGGGCAGCCACTGCTCCCCAACTGCTGCGAGGCTCGATTTGCAAAGCATTCACAGAGAGAGCTAATGAGAGAAGTAGGTTTTCCATAAGGCATTTGCTTTCAAAGTTCGATTCCAGCTTGATTGATTACCTAAGCAGCAGAGTGACAGCACAGCCACAAACTTGATTGCCGTTGAAGTGTTCATCGTTATGAGATCTTTCAGACTTTGTGAATCTTCGACTCTCAGAGGTCTGTTTAAATAGGAATCAGAGAAAGCAAAGGGAAAACGAAGCGGAAAGTACCCTAGAGAGGCATGTTATATTAGAATATTTAAGAAGGTATATAAAAACCTAGCATACCCCCAGAAATACCCTCCAAAAACAAACAGCGTTTGCGGGAAAGAACCCATGGGGAATCACTTGAGCCTCCAAACTGATAAGACACTGCTCCCAGAGACCCCGGCATCTCCTTATACTACTATAAATCAAAACACACACACTTGAATGTTTATAAACATCAATATATTATTATACAAAATAACTAAAAACAAAAAAATATTCAAGAAACTACTCCTCAATGGCCTTACGTTTCTTGGCTATTTTCTGTTTCTTGGTCTCTCGCGGTTGGTTCTGCTTCTCCTTTGATTTCGGTTTGGCATTGGTCTTTAGGTCATCCTCGACACCACTCGCCTTCAGCTGCAGCTTCTCCATGAGCGTCAGCGGACGATCTGTGGGTTGTGCCGGCTTCTTGTGTGCCATCGCTTGATGGGCCGTACGTCGCTTCTGGACCATCTTTTGGGCCTTTTGTGTCTCCTGGCGATAGCGTAGAGAGGCTAGAGCGTGCTTGTACACAGCTGCATACTCCACCTCCATATCGGGGATACTTGTATCTCCTCGCCCATAGCTTTGCCCACATCGTTGAGCATTTTCTTGAATTTCGGCTGATCCTGTTCGGTGAGCAAAGTGACAGCAGTTCCCTTTCTACCAGCACGAGCGGTACGTCCCACACGATGAATGTGTGTCTTGATGTGTCGCGGCGCCTCGTAGGATAACACAACATCGATGTCAGCCACATCGATACCACGAGCCAAGGCATCCGAACAGATTAGGCCGTTAACCTTGCCACTGGTAAAGTCCTTTAGGTTTCGATTTCTCACACTTGCCGAAAGATTGCCCGATAATTCGGCCACTTTGATGTTAGTTTTCTTGAAAAGCGTCTCCAGTACAAAGGCCAAGCGATTGGCCTGATCTGTGCTGTTGGTGAAGCAAAGGAATCGCTTCCATTGGTACTTTTGGACCAGTGCGAACAATGTCAACGGCTTTAGACGCAATTCCGTCACACAAATCTGTTCTGTCAACTCCGCTGGCGTTGTGTATTTGCCCAAAAACTGGCCACTATCTGCATTTGCATCAGCTTCAGCATCAGCATCCTCCTCTCCAGTCAACTCCTTCATCACAGGCATTGTAAAGACAGTGGTAAAGAGACGTGGCTGGAATAGGCGCAAATTCTGAAGCTTTTCCGGATCCTGCGATAAAGTGGCCGAGAACAGAAGCTTGTGCGGCTGTCTGCCAAAGCTGGACTCCAGTTCAGCGTAGCAGAGAGGAGCCTGAGTGCCAGCCAGCAGCTGATCCGTGGTCTCCTTCACATGACTATCCAGATGATAGAGCCAGTTTTGAAAGACAGCATCCATGATGCGATCGGCCTCGTCAATAATTAGGAATTTAAGGTTCTTCAAGCAAAAGCCCTTTGTGGCATGCAAATGATCCACCAGGCGACCTAAAAAGGCAAGCTCTTCTTATAATTTCTCTATTAATTCTGTATCTCATTAAACTCACCCGGTGTGGTCACCACAATATCCACCTTGGAGTAGTATTTCCCCTTGTATAGCTCCACCAGCTTCTCCTGCTCATCTTCGAGCTTGTGTTGCTTGGACAAAAGGCACACCTCCAGGTCTGTTTTACTACACAGCGCACTTATCACTCGAAAGACTTGCAGAGCCAGCTCTGCCACAGGTAGTACCACCAGAGCCCTAACTTTGCACTCGACGCGTTGCGACAACAACTGGACAATGGGTATGGCAAAGGCCAGGGTCTTGCCACTGCCTGTAGGCGCTGAAACACATATATCTCGCGGACGGAAGGGTGGCGGCTTCGATTGAGCTTCCAGTATCCAAGGAATGACTTGTCGTTGGACGGGAAACAGGTGCTTAATCTTCATTTGCTTGAGCGCGGCACAGGTGGATTTGTCCAGATAGGGAACTTCTTCTATGGTCTCTACATTCTGGTTCTCCTCTGCATCGGGCAAGAGGCTACCGCCTTCGATGATTGTGGGATGTGCCAGCCAATTGGGCAGCTGCATCTCCACCCGGCGTTTCTTGCTCGCCGCTCCATCTTCGCCCAGAACCTGAAACTCATTGGATGGCAGCTCCTCCTCCTGCTCTTGGGTTTCCTCTGTTTGTGCTTCTTCTTCGGGCTCTTTTTGTGCTTCATCTTTCTCTGTTTCTGAGGTTTGTTTTTCTGGAATTATTGTTTCCTTTGTGGCTTCTTCTACTTTATCAGTTTCCTTGTGTTTTCTTTTTCTTTTCGCCGCCTTTTGAAGCAATTTCTGCAGTATTTCATCTTCATTGTTGGTGGCCTTTTCAGTTACATCTTTTGTTTTATGAAAATCCTCGGTGTAACTAGGTATATTTGATATTATTTATGTTGTCCGTAGTGCACTCTTTAAAACTTACCGATTTACAGTAAACAATTCCATTGTTTAATGTGTTTTTATTTAATTATTATAGAATGAAGCTAATGCACGTGTTGCCGCGAATTTGTTTACGTTTTCACGACAGTGTGACCCTTTACGCACTAGGGTTAAATGCCGAAATACAGTGTTGCCGTACTGTTTTATTAAATGGCGGGGGATTTTAAAAATCAATTGGTATAAAATTATTTTATCTTATAACTAAGCAAAAGTTTTAATGTTTTATTACTCTTTTTTATGAGTTTTATTAAGATATATGGTTAATTTTATGGGTATTAAGACAATATGGGGTTTAACTGTAAATTAAATGTAATATTTACATTTAAATTATCCATATTATATTATATTATATTTCATCTTAAAGTATCAATTGTTTTCCCTTTGCTTACTTGTTAAAGTTAATTTAAATATCTTTCCCCACAATTTATTCATTTTACAAAAGATATATATTCCAGTTATTTAGGAATAATTTGTATTATTCCCGTAACCGCAAGCTGAATAATTGACAGCGGAAATAAACGGCAATATTAGTTCATATTCCAGTTTTCTAGGGGTTTTGTGGTTTCCCAACGTGGTAAGTAAACACTTTAAGACGATCTACGAAATGCGTTGGATGCGTATTCAAAAGTGCCCCCAACTTCATGGGTTTCTTTGGGGATTTTTATGCCGGTCAGTGATTCATAAATTGACCCAGACAACCCAAAGCGTTCCACGTGAGCGGGAGATGCAACAAAAAAAAAGGAAATACTCCTCATCGCAGATACGTATTTATTAATTAATGTTTATGAACCTGAAACCGGTTGCTGCCGTCGGTTTGCTCCACTAAAAAATGAGAATCTTTCCAAAATTAAATGGAGGAGAGATATGTCAAGCTTCTGTGGAAGTTGGGGGACTTTCTTGGACTATTTTAAGGCCTTAAGGTTTGTCACTCAATGCTTATTTTACGTCAGTAAATGTTTGTGATTTTAAATAACTTCATTAATCATGTAACTTTGACTTGAATTCGTTTTGGGAGCAGTAGCAGTTGAACACCTGTGACAAGACACGCCCATTCTGTGTGTCAATATTTATATATATTATAAATCGGAATGCTTGAAACTTGAAACTTCTTTTTAAACCACAACTATAACAATTCAAATATATATATAGCTTGGCAACTGAAAAACTGATTTTTCAATAATACCAACATTTGCTTTTGAAGAACGAACACCTGTCAGGGACTGGGAGACACGCCTCCATCACGAATTGAAGCATATAGTATTGAAAGCTATAAATTATATCAGAGATTTTGTTTACCAGTTTAACATTTTATTATTTAGCTAACTTTCGCTTTAAGAAATTATAAATACAAAGAGTTAAAAGGGTAATAAAGTAAGCTACCTATAAAATGTTTTTAAGTAAAAGATCTTTCAGTTTAAAGTTTAATAGAACTGTGCACCTTTCATTATAACCAATTTGGAATTAAATCGATTGATACTAATATTAAAATCATGATAATATAAACCTCAATGCGGCATTTCCTTAACACTGGACTTTCAAAACTTTCGGGTCGCATCCAGTCTTCAGGTTCTTTCATTTTGGCACATGTGCGGATTAAAATATCAAACTGGAAATGGAGTTTTGTTTAATAAAACGTTCAGCGATTGCGGATACAAAAGCTGTTCATATATGTTTAATAATGGTCATTGTAAGGCAAAAGAGTCGATTGTTTAATTCTTTTTTTGGGCGAATCCAATGGCAGAACCGGTTTTTTTCAATGGGGTTTCCATTCGATTCCGTTTCGTTTTTTAGATTTTTTGTTCTAGAATCATAGATCCGTAGGAACTTCCCCCAGATCCAAACTCTTGTGCTCTTGTTACAGAAATCTTATCTTTAGTTGTTCCATTATCTTTTATCTTTTCAATCTAATTGAATTTCTCCGACACACATTTCTCACTCTCTCTCTGGGACTCCCTTGGACTGGAGCTCTCTTTTCTTTATCATTCTTCCGGGAAAGAATCGTGTGCACTTGTTTAAACATTGTTTTCGTTTTCTATTTACTATAAAATTTAATTAAAAAGGTTTCAAGAAGGAAAACTGGTTGCAAAACTTCTTGATAGTTAATAATAATAATAATGGGAAATGCTAATTTTTATTTAATTCAAGGGTATTATCATTTTAGTCAGAAGCTTCTTACGCTGTGAAGGAATCGTTTCCGACCCTTTAAATCATATATATTCTTGATCAGAATTAAAAGCCGAATCGATCTAACCATGTCTGCTAAAAAATATAAATTTTCGAAATTATTTTCAAATTTGATAAAAATTTAAAGTTTTCAAAGATTTTAATTGAGTATGCAGATTTTTTAACCTAAAAAAAACTTACATAGGACAGCTTACCGAATTAAAATTAATGAATTTTTGGCTTAGTTATGAGTTTTTTTAAATATTGATTTTATTCAAGGAATGAAAATTTTGTAAGTTCAGTTATAATTTATTTCCAATTCGATTCCATAGTTCAATTAGAAACTGCAGGGGTATATAAACTATAGTTTTCTGTCTTGTTAGATCTTAGGAGTAATCAAAAAGGTTTAGGTAATATTTGATTACTTAATTTATTAAACGTGTCTTTTATGTTTATTTTTACGACTTTCTATACTATTAAAAACCTAAAGTAAAACTAAAGGTAGTATTTAAACTTTATAATAAACCCATACTCGTGCCCTTTGTGGGGCTTTACGGCTCTGTGCTTATATTTTCATATTGAATAATTGATGATTAAATCTGTCTGTGCCTTACGATAAATTTGAATATTATTTGCAAGCATTTGAATACAACTCCATTTTCCCCGATCTATTTATTATTCTAAAAGGGGATTCTCCAATTATTGCCAGGGAAAATATATTTTAGAAATCAATACAATATAATTATGACTTGGACTTGGTTTAAATTTCATTACAATATAACTCTTGGTTCATTTATATTTAATATCATTTATAAAATGCGAAATAATATAAACAGAGCTTGTATTATTTTGAGTACAAATTTGATTAAGTATAATTTTTCATTGTTTTTGATCAGAAATACTCAAAAACTTGCCAAAAAATGTTCTTAAAATGTACAAAAACAACAATTAACTTATCATAATCACTGTTTGCGTGTATAAAAACAAACCCGATATAGCGAAAGATAATAACAATATCGACACCTGTTGATCTCAGGTGAAAGAGAATAGGCAGAAAAGGGTGCAAGTGCGACAAAGAGAGAGAGATGCTGAGAACTTGTCTATGACTCGATGCTGAACGCTGACGTCGACGTCGCTCTGCTGACGCTGACAGCGAAGCTCAGAGCCGGCCAAGATCGCTTTATAACGGTAGGACATAAAGCCGCCGGAGTTCATTTGCAAACGTTTCGCGTTCGGGCTTAAAACGCTCGCGAAAAAAAACGCTTCGCTAAGAAAAACGCGAAAAGTTCAACGAAAATCAAACGAAAAAGTTTTCAAGCAGCAAGCTATCCGTTTTCGGGTTTTTTTTGCTGCTAAAAAGTTTTCGATTCGAAGTTAATTAGTTTCGCGTTTAAGGATATTTTCGAGCTACAAACAAATCATGTTGAAATATATACTGCCTGCTTTGCTGTTGATTGCCTCGTAAGTGTTTGGTAAAAAAAACAGATCAAAAACAAAAAAAAGCCAAAACTAGATCCAAAAACTTGGTCTAAAACATATCATTAATATTTTTAAATTTAAAATATTTTCAATGAGATCAAGTGCTACTTAAAAATATACATAAATGACTAAAATTTAAAGGGTTTTATGTGTATTTTTATTTAAGATACAATTTATCCTTGTATCTCTTATTTTTTAGTGATTAGAAAACCCCAAAAAATTAAATATTTCAATGATAAATTTAATATTCCCGACAATTCCACTTATTTTTTTATATATAAACAACTGTTTATTTGTTTTTATTTCAACAATTAATAAAGTTTAAAAAGAGAAAAGCTATTTTATTTAAATTGTAGAATTTTCTTGATGAAAAAAATGTTGTTCAAGATCATTATCATTATAAAAAGTTGGTTAAAATCAACAAAAGTTTTTCCCAAGAAATTCCATAAGTAGTCAATGGAATTAATAATAATTTAATAACTAGATATAAATATAAATAAAATTTACCAACTGGTAAATCATTTCTTATCACAACAATTAAAATTAATATTCAATAAGGAAATCTTTTTACCGAAAACTAAATATTGAGAGCTTCTTTACTTATTAACTATTAATAACTATGACTTGATGGCTTAAAAATTCCACAAACTATATATAAAAGAAATAATTTATTTAAAGCCGAGATTTTCTAAGATTTTTAGTGACTAAAGATTTTTATTTTGAGTGATGTCAGTTCTTCATCAAAGACTAAAGTTCAAAGGCAACACAAAAAAAAACTAAATTCTCTGCTAAAAAAAACCCAAACTTGGCTTAAAGAAAGCTCCCCTAAAAATCTGTATCAATTTGGCAAGGTGACCTTGGCCAAGCACAATTGATATAAATGACTGGCCAATACGATCATAAAAACGTATACAAAATTAAACAGTAAATAAAAAATTGTCGTAACATTCGTCAATATTGAATGTCACTTGATTAGCAAAACAGCAGCAGCATTATATAGTAGAGGGGATCGCTGATCTTGGGGGGGATTTCTCAGAGAAGATTTAGCAACATTATTCGATTAACACATATTACCAATATCATTTTTACAGATGCCTCGGCACACCGGTAAGCCAAACCCGTCGCTTCCCCAATGACTTTCTCTGGGGCGTTGGTTCCTCATCTTATCAAATCGAAGGCGGTTGGAATGCCGATGATAAAGGTGAATCCATTTGGGACTTTTTAACCCACACGCATCCCGAGAAGATTGCCGATCAATCCAATGGTGATATATCCGCAGATAGCTATCATCAGGTAAGTCACATATGTAGATAATGGACACTAATAATAATGGTAGTTGTCGGTTCATTTGGCATCGCAGATATATATATGTATATATCTTTTTTGATTGGAAGTTATGCAAAGAGTTCAAGATCTGGCGAGGCTGAGGTAATCGAGTGGAAAATATGTGTGAGCAAATCACCATTTGCGATGCACTCGAATGGCAATTAGTTACACGGATAATTACGCGATTTTATCTGGATATGTTTGACGCTAATCGAAGGCGATGGTACATATAAGCATTAACTTAAGAAGGGGGTGCTTTTAATTACTTTCAGTAACTAATTGTTGGGGATCTTAGAGGTCTTTTTATAAAAATTATAAAGAACTCTTTTGCACTCCTTTAAACCTTTTCTTATGACAGATTTAGTCACAGAGATAATCCGGCTTCTGCCTAATTAATTCAATAGACAAGTTCATTAACCAATTATGTTTATAGTAGCATGATTTCCAGCTATAACTATAATTTAAATGTCCATCTTGATAGGCATATAAATCATCATCTAAAAGTGTGGACATGCGATGCAACTGCAACATTGTTGCATCAAATTACAGGCCACAAATCAATTTGCATAGTTCTTCTGACCAAACAAACAAAAAACCATTAGCGAAGAGTCTCATAAATCACAGGTGGGGGGAGAACATGGACACCTGTTTTATAATTTGATAAACTATGTACTTTGTCCTGATAAAATCAAGTTATCTGGGGCTTTTCAGCGCTTTAAGTTTGCACTATTTGTCTTGAATGGAATGATTAATGATTAATGATCTCAGTTCTGTATTGAATTAATGATCTTTTGTTAAGAATACGACTTAAAGGGCAGTTTAATCAGGGCGTGACTGGGTTAGTTTGATTATAAATAAATAAAATAAAAACGAAACGGAACTGGGGATTATATAAAAAGGTTTTTTTAAGAGAAGTTGAATGACATTTTTTTTGGTAGTCCTGTGATCTATGCTTTCATTTAGCTTTTATTCAGAATGTGTCCCAATTTTCATGGTAGACTGATAGATAAGTTAAGTATGTTCACATTTAGATAAGAATAAGAAGCAATAAAAGCATTGTTTAGTTGTTAAGATCAAACATATTGTATAATATAGCTAGAGATATAGAAATAGAAAGATACCAAGACTTATCTCATACAAAGATTTGAGATCTTAAGAGCTCTTAGAAGCATCAAGTCTTTATTGTGCTAAAGACAAATTTTGACCTATTTAAAAAATATTTTTTCTATAGATTACTAAGCTGTTTTTCTATACTATTATAGTATATAGTATAGCATTTAATGTTCCTTCGATTGCATTTTAAAAACTTCATAACTAAGCTAAAAATGCATCAATTTCAATTCGGAAAGCTTCCCTATGTTAGTTTTTATAAGTTAAATAAATCTGCATACTCAATATAAAGTTTGAACAAATTTTAAATTTTTATAAATTTTTGAACAATTTTAACGATTTGACACCTTATAAAATATTGAAAAAATTTTGAAAATTTATTTTTTGATCAAACATGACTAGATCGATTTGGTTTTTCATGCTGGTCAAGAATATATATGATTTATAGGGTCGAAAATAAGTCCTTTAAAAGTTACAAGCTTCTAACCAAAATAATAATACCCTGGAAGAGTGTAAACATATGAATATATTTAGCAACTATTTTCTGGTACATTAAGTCTTTCAAAAACTATAATAAATAGGTTTCGAAATAACCTACAAAATGATTATGTATAAATCCCAACCAGATCTCCTTCCCAGTAATATACACCAATAACTTATTTACAAAGAATTTAGCATTGTATTACATAGTTGCATTGATTTATGGAATCAGCAGCCTGAGAATGTGTTGGAGTGACCATTAATTGTGTCATAATTCGCCTGCTAATGCCAATCAAAGTCAGCTAACCGATTCTTTTTTTTTTGTTGTGCGGCAGGTGTCGTTTGTGTTTAGTTTTATTTCGATTTTTGTTATTATTTTTTATTTAATTCGCTCAGCCTATCCACTTGTTATTGTTGTCAGCGGCGGCAGGCGATTTGATAAATGGACTATATGGCGGAACGGACAGCTTAAACGCCCCTTCGCGATTCAAATGGTTTTACAATTCAAAGTCACATAATTTAGCGACACCTCCAAAGCCAAAGCCAAGTCAAGTGACACTGACCAAGACTGGTGACTGACCAACTGGTTTTTCCATTCCCAATTTTGCGGTTTTGGGGTTTTTCGGCCCGGCATTCTTGGCATGGTTTTTCAAAAAGGAAACCATATCAATTCGAACGCCAAAAAAAAAAAAACAAGTTGGAATGCAGCTATTAGACTATTTTCCGACATTTAAGTATTTATTTATTATGTCAGTTTGAATTTAAATGTTAACTTGATGTTAGATTAGTGAGTTTATGTGATCTGTCAGCGATTTGTCTAAATCAATTTTTAAATTGGGTTGATATTAAGCTTGTTTGGGTTTTTTTTAGTGTTGCTACTAAACTGGTAGCTTAAACAATTAAATTGTTTAAACTACTTTTAAGTGTTTTCAATAGTTTGATACTTAAATGGTAATAATTTGTGGAGAATTTATAGATTTAAATAACTTAAAATGCTCCTGTTTTATGGAATTACCATAAAGTTAGTGAGGAAAAAGTTTTGCCTACTTTTTAGCTGCTGATTAAAGGGTATATGTTAGAGAGGATCTATATAAGATCTATATAAAAAATTATCAAAAATACAGAAATATAATTAAAATTAGGTTTGTGTCAAGAGATAACGGTTACCTTAGTTTTTCTTTCAAAACTAGAGGGTTTTGGAAAACCTTAAATTAGGTCTGAAGTTCAGCTTTCTTTATCCCTAGGATTACCCTATTAATTACCAACAAAAACCAACGAAAACGCCTAATAAATCTTATAATTTTAATATAATTTTATAAACCCTTTCTTTCAGTGGCGTCGCGATGTTCAAATGGTTAAAGAACTACATGCTGGCACCTATCGTTTCTCCTTGTCTTGGCCAAGGATCATGCCCGGTGGCTATATGAACCATGTGAGCACCGCGGGAATCAAGTACTATTCGAACCTGATCGATGAACTCCTTCGGTATAATATCACACCCATGGTAACGATCTATCATTGGGAGCTGCCGCAGAAGCTGCAAGAGCTAGGAGGCTGGACCAATCCAGAGATCATACCTTTGTTCAAGGACTATGCTCGTTTGGTGCTCGAGATGTACGGGGATCGAGTGAAGATCTGGACAACTATAAATGAGCCGTGGCATGTGTGCGAACATGGCTATGGAGTGGACTATATGGCGCCATCGTACAATTATCCTGGCATTCCTGCCTATTTGTGTGGTCATAATCTTCTAAAAGCTCATGCCGAGGTGGTGCACATGTATAGAGATCTCTTCCAGAAGCGTCAGGGTGGTCGTATGGGCATCACCCTGGACACTTCTTGGCCGGAGCCGAGGAATCCCGACTCTGCCGAGGATCGTGAGGCCTCCGAGCGGGCCATGCAGTTCTATGTGGGTTGGTTTGGTCATCCGATCTTCTCCAAACATGGCAACTATCCCAAGGTGATGATCGAGCGTATACGTAATCTGAGCAAGGAGCAAGGATTTGGCGTTCGCTCTAGGTTGCCCGAATTTACCACAGAGGAGATTCATCGCATTCGCGGCACTGCCGATTTCTTTGGCATTAACTCGTATACCAGTAACTTGGTTACCTCAAATGGACATAATAATACTGGAGGATTCCCAGTGCCATCATTCAATCATGATATGGGCGTTGTGGAGAGTCAAAAGGAAGTCGACTGGCCGGGATCTGGATCGGTTTGGTTAAAGGTGAGTTGAATGTATTACTATTATTTAATGAGGAAACCAAAATTTGTAACAATTTTAAGCTCCATTCAACAACTTATTAAAACTCTCATTAGACTTAAACAGCAACTCAAAGCTGAATATTTTAACTGCCTTAAAAAGGCATCCCCTTAAAGGGTTTCCCTTAACCAAAAGTAATTATTTTATGAGGCTAGGAAAATTGCTTGCCCTGGGCAACCAAACAAGTTTACAACGAGAGCATCTTTCCTCCAACTCCTACTCCAACTTCTACTCCAACTCCTACTCCAACACTTACACCAACTCTAACTCCAACTCCTACTCCAACTCCAACTCCTTCTTCAATTATCTTTGGCTTAGTCGCCCAAATTGATTGTGGCTCACCCACCGGAGATGAGGAATCCCTCACGTCCCCTGGATAGAAGAGAGAGAGATGGTGGTGTAATTAACTTTCCTAGACTTGAGGGTTGACTTATCCCCCACTTGGAGCTTTGAATTATGGTTTTGCCGAGTAAACTACTTAGGCATTGAATCAAAAAAGAGGGTGACTTTCGACCAGGTAGTGTTATGCTACAAGTACAGGTGAATGAACCCAACTAACCAGGGGTTGTGTATCCAAGCTGTGCTCTTCAGGTGCACACACAAAGAGAAATTAGGGCAAAGATTAAAGATTAAGAAGAGATGAAATACATAATAATATTTATACTTATTTAATTATTTATTCCAGGTTTATCCCAAGGGCATGTATAATCTTCTCATGTGGATTCACCGCGAATACAATGGTCCCGAGATAATTGTCACTGAGAATGGTGTTAGTGATCGCGGTGGACTGGAGGACTATGCCCGCGTAGATTACTTTAACCAGTATCTCTCTGCAGTCCTGGATGCCATGGAGGATGGTGTCAATATCAGTGGATACATTGCCTGGAGTCTGATGGATAGTTATGAGTGGAAGGCTGGCTTCTCAGAGAAGTTTGGCCTCTACCATGTAGACTTTAATTCCCCGGAACGCACTAGAACGCCAAAAATCTCTGCAAGGGTCTTTGCCCAAATCTGTAAGACAAATACCATTGATTGGAGCTATCGGCCGAAGCTCGATGAGGAGCAGAAACTGGTGGCCATGGCCCAGTTGCCGGCGGAAGAGGATCAAATGTTTAGATCAAGTGGAGCCCAAAGAGCCATCAGCTGGAGTCTGATGGTTGCTTTGCTAATGGTTCTTCTCCGATGAGGAGGAGAAGGAGGAAAAGGAGACTCTTGCCATAATGAACTTGTCATTGTCCATGGTGCCAAGTATTGTTTGCTACTCCTAGGCCTAAGTTTTATTCTTCCATCTTTGTAATATATTAATTTGTATTTAAGCTACAAGACTCGAAACTGAATAAAAAAAACTTTTGTGATATTAAAAGAGGTTGATTTCTTTTTTTATATTAGAGAAATCTTTAAAAAAAAATTATATGTAAGATAAAGTAGAAGGCCAGAAACAAGCAAAATTCCTTTCTACAAATATTGATCTTAAGAAATAACACAAAACACCTTGAAACTAATATTACTTTAGCTTTTTTGACGTAGACTTAAAGGCTTTGTAAGCTTTTTTGCCAAAAGAAACTGGTTTATTTAAAAACGTCAGAGATTTCTAACTGTAAACATAATAATCCCCTTAAAGTGGAAGCTTAAGACTTCAAGAATTTGAACTCAATAGATCACATATCATCAGAGTTGATCTAGAAACCTTGGTTGATTTTCAAACAAGAAGACTTCCATCAACTTCCATTCAACTCCAAAGTTCATTCAGATGTTAATGGCTTTTCAAAGTGACATTTACATGAAATGATTTAGAGTGAAATTCCTTGAGCTGTTTCCGCAAGTAAATCAAACATGAAGCCAGGGCCAAACAATAGGTCCAATGATCTGTGATCTTTGGCGGCACAATGGGCCCCCATTATATCATCCTATAATCATCATATGTAAGATAATAATTGTAGGGGACTGAACATTGATCCAGCATGAATCGGAATATATTTATAGTCCCTGCTAATAATGACTCTGATTAAGTCACTCGCTTATGCGGTTATGAAGGTATATTCTTGGCATCCACATCCGCCTTAGAAGATATTTTATATTATGTTACGTACTTTCAAAACGGAATCGAAAGTAATGGAATCATGATCATGAATGTGCAGTCGTAAGACGGATATATATAATATCATTTATTTGCTCGTTTCCCTTACCAGAACCAGTTACCTTTCCTTTTTGGGGTAATGCTTTTTATTTCGCATTTTTACCTATTTAACACTTGATTTTTATGCATTTAGCTGGATTTATTGTTTCGGTTTCAACAAGTCACACGAAAACTTTTGAATAAATTAACAACAAAAGTTGTTGCTTTTGTAGGAAACATTCTATTGCCCGGCGGCGGCAATGGGAACAGGAATACGAGTGGGAAATGTTTTAGCCAGGGGAAGCTTGAGGGGGCTCGTCCAGAATCAATAGAGACTATAGTCTAGTCTCGACAATCATTGGCGTGCTCCCAGTTCAATATCAATTGGAGTCTTGCACCTGTTTTGAGTCACGAGCCGACGCCGGGTGTATTCATAATTCATCAGTTTTGCCAGAGTCTGGGAGCTTTGAATATAAAATTTAACTAAGGGTTGAAAAGTATATATATGTACATACTTGTTTATGGGAAAAAATATGAGGTAAGAATAGCCCTTTAAGCCATATTTGTATACCCCTTGCAGTCAGAAGCCTGTAACTCAGTGAAGGAGTCATTTCCGACCCTATAAATCATATATATTCTTGTTCAGCATGAACAGCCAAATCGATCTAGACATGGTTGGTAAAAAAAAATTTTGAAATTTTTTCAAAAATTTTTAGCGATAAATTTTTGTCAAAAATTTGACCAAAAAATTAAAATTTTTAAATTATAAAAATTAATATGCAGATTTGTTAACCCTTTAAAAACTAGCACAGAACAGCATTCCGAATTAAAATTAATACATTTTTGGCAAAGTTATGATATTTTTAAGAACTTTTTACCCAAAAATTAGCATTTTAAAATATGTATATTAAAGTGATAAAAATATAATTTAATATTCAACTTCCATACGAATATTGGGTATAATGCATTAAGAAGTAACTTTATAGAAGGCTCTATTCTACTGATATAATAAAATATGATACAAAAAATAATACAAATGTCTAAGACATTATTCCAAACTAAACTATTATTATCATGGACATTTATGACCATTTTCAAGGTTCAAAAAATAATAATATAAATTAATTAAAAAATAACTAAAAATATCACCTCAAGTGTAGAACAATATATTTATTCTTTCTTTGGGAATTGCGGCAAAACTGCCAATAATAATCGTAGTTGTTTTATGAGCTATGATTAATGAGTGCTAATGAACCAAACGCTGTTTCGCCACAAAAAAATCTATCAAAAAAAGCCCAACAAATCCGTTTCAATTTTAGATATTACCCGCTTTTCCCCTCTTATATAAATATATTCTTAGAGGTAACAATGTTGCTAAATCATCAAAGTTTAAAAACTAGATAAAAAGGGAGAAAAAAACCTTCTTTCGTTGTAAGTTCTCAACTTTTTTCCCCACTTTTTTCTTGTTTTTTTTGCCCTTACACTGATGAAATTTTCCAAGTTAATTGCATCAGACAAATGTTTCAGTTGATTTGTCGCGTTTCCCCTCGAACACGAACTTCGCGAATTTGAAACGTGTGATTTATGCACGTGCAGTTTGCTCTCTCGCAAAAGGTCACAGAACACAAATAAATCTCAGATCAAATACAGATCACGAACGAACTTCATGATGATAAAAAAGCACAGATTACTGGGTTTTAATAAATATATATGCTAAATGCTGTTTCAAATTAGGTTAGTCACTTGATTATTTATAGAAACAATGCTGTAATATATTGAATGCATTATAGTTAATGCTTAATTAGTTGCAGCTTTGAATTAAGTCGTAATTGTTCTTTTGTTTTTTCTTGTTTAAAATTAAATTAAATTTAAATTTAAAATCAACTGCTTTGTTGTCAGTCAAGCAGTTCAAGTGGTTGTTGTCTTGGTTTGGTTAAACACGGAAATATGTTGCATAATTTGAGGCTTTAACATAATTGGAACATTCATTTTCCGTTTCTCAAATATATATTTTAATAAATTATATGTTTATTATATGAATCTGTCAGCTGGCAGAAGATTTTAACTCACAAAAAAAAGATATTAAAATTTCTGAAAAGTATCATTGCTTTCCAAAGTTCCATAATAAATAAATTAAATAATCCCAAGTACACCTACAAATGTAGGTTTAAATGCTATACTGCTAGAATAATTTAAAGGAAATAAATTAATATTATATAAATAATAATCAAATAATTATAAAAAAAAATAAATATCAGAGGTCATTGAACCATATAAATAACACTAATTTTTTATACCTAAATATGCCTGATCACGTTTTATTTATCCTGAAAGATGACACAGTCACGTGCTAAGGACATTTTTCCCCATACGATTCATGGATCTTCCCCTTTTTCTGTTCCAACTTCTGGATTAACCCGCTGGGCCATTTATCAAGCATTTGATAGAGCTCGATGGTTTGCACTTATTGAAAATTAATACGGCTTAAGGACCCACAATAGTGCAAAAATCAGCACACATGCTGAATTCATCGCTCGGTCACCACCCTCCGAGGCTCCCACCCCACGCCACACACACATTAATCCCGCGAACAAGGCATTAGGCAGGGAATAGGGAGCAACCCGGAAACTGGACAAACATCTGTCCTGGATGAGGACATGGTGGCATGGCAAAGGGATTAAATAACAATAAGCGTTAAACAAAATTAAAAATCAGAAATCGATGTGGTTTAGTTTCCATCATCGAATCTATGCTACTTCCATTTAATGGAGAAAAATTACTCTTCAATAGCAACAAAGAGCAATCAAGTTAATAATGTGTACACAGATTTTTGTTGGCCCCGTGGTTAATTTGATTAGGATTCTTTTACAGGGAATAATTTAACAACTATTTGAGGAATGCGGGTAGTATAGAAAAGTCGAATATAACATACTCTTTGAGAGGAGAAACTCGTAAATAAAAACACTTTGTAAAAATATGCTTAAATCTTTTCTTTAAACATACTTTTTTACTATTTAAAAAACCTATTCAAGAGATATCAAGCCGCTGAATTTATATGAAAGGCTTTAAGTACTCACATTACTTTATAAAACTGTAGGCTTCTCTACAAAACTCTTTAATATTGCCTCAATTATGCCCCCTATTTATATATTATTGTTATTGGGTGTCAAACTGAAGCCTTAACAATTGATTTAACCCTTTGCCATCAATATTCAATTATGCCCCATAGAGCAATATATAAATTTTTATAAACTTCAACAGCACTGATTGAAACATACACTTGAAAATACTTGTACACGTTCAGTGGTGAAGTGAAGTGCCCTCATCTTTTTAGTATTGGACCGGAGTTCAACCTCTCTTTTGCCCCCCATCTGAATCTTATGTAATGTGTCACTTCGTAGTTTCTCCCTTCTCAAGTAGATTAAGTTTGGCGATAAAGTATCATTGAATCATCGAGTTTTGTGCTTTTTGTTGGGTCGTTAAAAGGCATCCATAGTGAGGAGTTCCCCTAGTTTGCTGGACAACAAAAGACCGAAGAGAGAGAGCACCCTCATCGCATTACAGAGCAACTGTTCGGTATGGTAATGGTTTTTCAGAGCTCCCCTCAACCAGCATTGGAGATATCAAAGTTCTTGGCACTTCAATTGGTTTTCCCATAAATCTCTGCCTGAACTTTGGCCTGGGAAATAGTTTAGCCTAACTAGAGATGATCCTTTGGTCCTTGTTTCGTTTAATTATTGCCGGGAAATGGTAAAGAAAGAAAAAGGGAAAACCGGAAGGTTGAGAAATCACAAAATAAAGAAATGAATAGCTGCAGCAGCAGTAAGAAAAGAGAAAGGCTCAGCTATATATATTGCAGGCCCATAAATTACCAACCAAAAACCTTGTTAAAGGTGCGAATGTTGGAAGGGAGGGTTCCAGTTTCTCATAGAACGTGCCAAGATCAGAAGGCAGCTGATTCCTTGCTCCTCGCCGCCAAGTTCAATGCACTCTCTCGCTCCTTCGCCTGGCTTTGGCTGTAATGACAAACCAATTACCAGCTAAAAGACCTGGACTTGAACGTGGACTTGGTTCACGACACGCACGATTTCCAGAGGAGTCCAGAGGAGAGAAAAAAAAAAAGAAATGCAGGCGACGGCTTGATTGCGCAACAAATTGGACAAACGACGCATGTCACCCCTTTTTGGGATGGAAAACAGTTAGAGCC